CAGTCTCAATTTCTAGTTTGAATTATATAGATTTATTATCTGCCTACATGTAACGGTACATCAAAATACATGTCCAACATTTGAGTGCTCACAAGCTAACCTGGAGCACCCTGAGGCTATGAATAGTAAATAAATAATATTGTAATAAATTATGCGAATTTTTTTTTATCATTTTTTTTGGCTTCATTGTGAATGTGTTTGGGGAAATCAATGACGCAAACCCCTTTCACAATTTTATTATCCCCAAAAGACACAATATTCCCCCTAATAAGTTGTTGAGGTGGTAACATTGGTCTATTCATCTATTCTTAGGTGGTAAACACCTACACCTTTTTTTTCAAATTTTACTGGTACATGTTGAGGCTACCGGGCTTTTGCCTGGAAAAGTACCGTAAATATTCTAATTTACGCGTCACATTTCAGAACATTGCTCAGTGTCCTCACCAACTTGTTCAGTGGCCCCAACAACTTGCTCAGTGACCTCACCAACTTGCTCAGTGGCCTCACCAACTTGTTCAGTGGCCCCAACAACTTGCTCAGTGACCTCACCAACTTGCTCGGAGGCATCACCAACTTGCATGCTCATTGTTTCTCACCAACTTGCATGCTCAGTGTTTCTCACCAACTTGCATGCTCAGTGTTTCTCACCAACTTGCATGCTCAGTGTTTCTCACCAACTTGCTCAGTGACCTCGCCAACTTGCTCAGTGACCTCACCAACTTGCTCAGTGACCTCACCAACTTGCTCAGTGACCTCACCAACTTGCTCAGTGACCTCACCAACTTGCTCAGTGACCTCGCCAACTTGCTCAGTGACCTCGCCAACTTGCTCAGTGAAATCGCCAACTTGCTCAGTGACCTTGGCAACTTGCTCAGCGACATTGGCAACTTGTTCAGTGACCTCACCAACTTGCTCAGTGACCTCACCAACTTGCTCAGTGACCTCACCAACTTGCTCAGTGACCTTGGCAACTTGCTCAGTGACCTCACCAACTTGCTCAGTGACCTCACCAACTTGCTCAGCGACCTTGGCAACTTGCTCAGTGACCTTACCAACTTGCTCAGTGACCTCACCAACTTGCTCAGTGGCCTTGCCAACTTGCTAGATGTAACCTCACCAACATGCATACTCAGTGTTTCTCACCAACTACCACCAACTCGCTCAGGATGATACGTGTTACTGTAAAGGGGGTAATTATTCACTGGGTTTTAATTTAGCTTATTTCGCTGACTGGAAAAATGCGCTAAATTAAAACACAGTGAATATGTAAAATTTAGCATAGAACACATTATCTAAATAACGAAACCGTGAATTGAAAACCCACTGAATATGCCCGAAATGGTAAATCAGTGAAATTTAAACCCAGTGAAAATTAGTCATTTTACAGTAATAAATAAACTTAGTGCCCTCGCCAACTTGCTTTGTGCACTCACAGACGTGATCAGTACCTTCGCGAATTTGGAATCATCTGGGTAATGTTTCTCTTAAGGTAGCGAGTGGGGAAAAACTAGAAAAAAAACAGAACATTGCTCAGCAGCCTCACCAACTTGCTCAGTGTCCTCACCAACTTTCTCAGTGTCCTCCCCAACTAGTTCAGTAACCTCACAACTTGCTCAGTGACCTCATCAACTTGCTCAGTGACCTCACCAACTTGCTCAGCGACTTCACCAACTTGCTCAGTGACCTGAGCAACTTGCATGCTCAGCGCTCTCACCAACTTGTTCTGTAACCTCACCAACTTGCTCAGTGGTCTCGCCAACTTGCTCAGTGACCTCGCCAATTTGCACAGTGACCTCACCAACCTGCTCAGTGACATCACCAACTTGCTCAGTGACCTCGCCAATTTGCTTAGTGACCTCACCAACTTGCTCAGTGACATCACCAACTTGCTCAGTGACCTCATCAACTTGCTCAGTGACCTCATCAACTTGCTCAGTGACCTCACCAACTTCAAGTTGCTTAGTGACCTCACCAACTAGTTCAGTAACCTCACCAACTTCAACTTCTTCAGTGACCTCACCAACTTGTTCAGTAAGCTCATGCAACTTGCTCTTTACTTTTCATGTAATTATTTTTCTTTTACTAATACATTTGTTTTTTGTATCTGATTTGTAACCCTTTTCATCCCCTCCGGGGGATGTTATATGTTAATAAATAAACTTAAGCTCAGTGACATCACCATGCAACTTCACCAACTTGCTCTGTGTCCTCACAAACTTGATCAGTAGTGCCTTCGCGAATTTGCTCTGTGGAATCATCTGGGTAACTTTTCTCCCAATTCTACATATAATTACCATTCATAAGAAAATTAATATCTAAATTGATATTCTAAGAGAAAATAGAAAAGGTGCTCGGCGCCGAATTTCCCGTAGGTACATGTAATAATAATAATAATGCTTGTTCGCCATAGATTTGATATAGGCAAGACAGAAAGTAAGTGTAAATATACTACACGTTATTTGAAATATTCCATAAAATACAAAACCTGCACTATTACAATGAAAGACTATAGAGATCTTCTCTATAGTCTTTGCTATAATCACGGTTACTGGAGGATTCTAGTAACCGTGCTATAATCGAGGAGGTACCATGTGTGTATGATAAGTCAATATCCCTGAACTACCACAGAAACACAAATACGGTTGAGAACTCGGGATCTATACGAATTATACTTACTATTTAGACAATTTTTCAAACAAAGCTTTAGTTTCTTCATCTGTTAGTGGCCTCATTGTGAATAATTATTCCGGCGTAATGTAAATGTCAGACGTAAAATGAAGAAAACGTGTTGTAAATGATACACCACGTTGTTTTTTTTAATTACCTTTCTGCGCAAGCTCGGTGACTTTAGTCGAGTGCAGTGGATTGTGGGGAAATTGTACATACTAATTTGCATATCTAAAGTCTTCGTATGTACCCAATAACATTGCTTAGTAAGTGTGGTTTGAATTTGTTCATCCGCATTAAAATGTTAAAAAGTAAAAGAATAGCGAAAATTGCATGAATATTTAATAACTAGCTATATAACAATGCATAGTGCGTCCGCGCGTCTGGTCGCTTAGCAACTGCGTATCTAAGTCAGGTGACATCGATAGGGCTTCTGTTTTCAATGTATTGTTTTCGTGTACTGTTCTTCGCTAATGGCTTGGTCGAGGACAGAGTATGTGAGCGCGACATAAAGCGACTCAAGTACTCCTCTTTGCCGGACTTTCCTTCACGTCAGAGTAAAATGGTTAGCAGATAATGGGGAAAACTGTCGGATAGTGGTTAAAACTCGAACTCCGTGCCCAGTGCCACTGCAGAACCCTGTGGACACAGTGTCTGTGTAAAGAAAGAACGCGTCGTTACCGGCAGCTTGCTCGCAGAGCTCGTAACAGCCTACAACGTATCGGTAAATTATATACGCGGTTTCATTGTATTTTGGACGGTCGTAATAATTTTTATACATTCTTACAATATAGAAATATATTGCCTCTGTCGACAGCCTGAGTGTTATTTATCTGGCACATATCCAATGCCATAGATTACTGTTTAAACCACCTATACTATAGTGACGATGATTGGACAACAACCCACTTGTTTTGTCAACGGGTACACTTATTGAAGCGACGAAATGTCGGCCTTTATCCTCGGCCTTAACAATAGGAATTTGGGGTCAGCGAATAGTCAAGGGGTTGGACCAACCGCGCTTGCACCCACGATCTGTCGGGCACCGGTTGTCGAGCACAAATTCAACGAGAGGCGAAGTTCTAGTAATTTGAGTCAGAGATCTGTATTTCAACTTATCAACAACACAAAGAAGCTCGACCAACAGCCGACGTGTTTGCCGCAAATCGTCAGCAACCCTACACTCGACCATACAGAGACTAGGAATATAAGTGTTTCTCATCAAAGACAAGGTGTTTGTTTACCCACATTTTCTCTCAGCCATGCACCATGCCCAAGCGCTAAAAGACGGCAGGATGAACCGATAAGAACGAGTATCGAAAGCACGCTGGTCAAAACAGCCGTGTTATTAGAAGGAGTACATATTGAAAACTCTACAGACTTGAGTCAGTCATTATCATCACAAGAAAGCAGCCTGCCAGCAGATTTAGTCGAAGATTCGGGATTTTGTAGCAGACGCAGCGGCAATGGATTAACACCGCCGACTCAGGAAGACGATATAGCCATTAACAACAGCACAGGTATTATTGTTATCATAATATTTATATGGTTTATCTTAATAATGCTGTTGTGTGTACTAGTGTATATATATATATATTGTTTATATATTTCCACTTATTCCATCGTGAAATTTTGTGAATATTAACAATTCATTCAGGTGGAGGGTGAGGCTATGCTTTTTACTAATGTTAACACAAATAAAAATGCAGCTGCTAACGCTTACAGTGTATGCCATCTAATACAGTAATGTTGTAGAAACGAACTCTGCTCTGGTAATAGTATTTGAATTAAACATTATTACGAAACATGACGTGGAACATTTGTATTATTGAATTACGCCCAGTCTTGATGGAATATACTGTCGGCTCACATAAATCAATACTGTCGCGTATTTTCAATTGTGCTGCATAGACGATATTATCCAAACATTATGTTCACCCAAAAGGTACACGGTATTGTAAGAGTGGCGTGCATGCCATTCATCGATTCAGGCGTACGGTTTATTATATGTAACGCCATGAAATCTTCATTATCGCCACTGTATATGAATATCACTGGGACAATTTACAACGAGATTCTGATTTATTTGGCTTGTAGAGCACACCCTTGTTTAATTTCCTATACAACGCTATTGTATTACAAGCATGTACCGGTCAAGAATTCATTTCCGGATTTTGTCAGACTGATACATGTTGTGCTCTTTTGTCGCCATGGTAACCGGCTGTTACGAAACTGATTACCGCGCTGATTTTTCATTTCAATGCTTCGATGCGTTTTTGCAGTGCAAATGTTTATTCTTAGCCGTATTCGTGGTTCATTTCTTGAATATAGTACATTAACCTTCACGGGAATGTCTTTCGTTTTTCATTGAAAGTTTAATTTAAGTCTATTCCCTCTTATTTGGTAATTTGGAATTGAAATGGGTGTAAACAATTGCTTATTATCGCAGTCCATAGTAGCTGAAGCCATTTTATTTTATTTAAAAAAATACTATTGCTATTTCGAATTCTTCAATTTGGATATTGTGATATGTGTTACAGGTTTCCATGGAAACATGCCGCATATTTGCTCCATATATTCAAATATATGTTGTTCAGTAAGCGTACATGATGATATTGGCTTCCCTACTGTACCAAAGTCCTCTAATTGCAGCAATTTTATTACAGATCTTGAAGCGCTTTGTAGATATGGTGTTATGTCGTTTCCAGGGCACACCTTTAGTTGTTCCAAATTAATGTATTCTACGGGCGTACTAAATTCAAGTCCCGACAAGTACGATAGATGGGAATTAAATAAACGCTTCTTTGAAAATTGAACAGAAAACGATTCTAAATTCAACACCTTGCCACATAAATAGACATATAGTTTTAGGATTTCTTAAAGTTTTTTTATTTGTGCCAGGTGTATTTTCTGTTAATTTCACATATTCGGCGTATATGTGATCTGTCAATGTGTGACTATAAGCATTATGCTATAAGCACAAAAGTGCCGACTCGGTCCCGACTATTCTCACACAGATTTCGGCACGTGCTGAGGTTTAGCTCCATCTCGATCCTGATCGAGTTCGCCAGTGAGAACGCAGCTATTTTGTCCAGCCTTAGTATGTTCCGAGTGCATATATACGGCTAGGCGGGGTAATGGCATGTAACAGTGCAAACATTCGCGAACAATCAAATCGCGTTCACAAGTAAACAAAGTCACCCACTTGGGAATACTTATACAAAGGATTACGATTGCCAGCCAACACTTTCAATATTGGTCCCATCAGCTTTTGTAATTTTTTTTTCAAAATCACACATTTGGTCACCTTTGAAATATTTCAAGCGTGAGACCTTGACAATGGCTGTTGCTACGGAAACCAAGCTATTAAATCTCGGTATGAACAATTCCACTATTATGTGGGAAACAGTAACATTTTATTGCATCTTTAGAAAAAGAACATTTCTGTCAATAAATATTCTGGTAGCAAAAACTAAAAAATAATATATCTACAAGTAACATCAAAACAAAAACTACGTCATTTAATTTCGTGTTGTGAAGTATCTGTTAACAAAACTACCAATGCTTTTGATTATTTCACCACCTATCTTAAAGTAGATATAACAAGTTTCTGGAATAAATTGGTGATTTTAGGATGGAATATGTGTCAGAATTTGTTGTCAGTCAAAATGATAATTAGGATAAAGTAATAATTCATCTCATTATATTTTCTAAGGGTGTCTTCAAGCTGGCTGAGTATGCCTTTCTTGCTCAATTGTTAAATTGTGGTTACTTGTTCTAAATTTAGACATAGTAATTATTTTGTTTGAAATGATGTATAATAGCCCGAGATGCATGTGTTGTCTGTCAGTATGATGTTGAAGCTGGTATAACAAAACTGTCGTGTGAGGGCGTTGTACATAATGCGGGTCAGTCTTGACGTGACGCTCCCAGCCTAAACGTTCACACTGTTCTCCAAACCATAGAGCTCTCTTTTTAACTCCATGACCAAACAATGCTTTGACAATACGGTAAGACACTTCATAGAACACGAATCTTCGAACTTTGTTTATCATTTGTTTGATTTCACCAGTTTCGTTTCATCGTCGCTTGGCGTTTATTTTGCGCCACTGTCGTGTGTATGGGGTTGGTCAGACAGTGGGTTTCATTACATTATACGAGTGTGTTTTCTATCTCGTGAAATATTGTTATCGAAGGTCTTTCGATCGCGAATGTACCGCACAATGAAATGCGCCATATATTGACTGTAACCACCGTTGAGGGACGGTGCGTTAGCGGACCTTTGCATTGAATTTTCAACAACTGTTTTACTGGCAACGTTTCGGGACATGTTGAAAGTCGATCGCTAAAGCATAGTCGGTATATTCAGTGTTTTATCTCGCACGCGTTTTCCATATTTCAACAATTGAACGACTTTACGTTCAGTGTCTATTATTATAGTTCGAACTCACTGAATATATATATATATATATATATATATATA